TAAATCTCAAAAAGCTGCAAGCTGTTTACCGTGCTATGTTTTTTCTAGCCACATTACATTGCACGTCCCAAGGGAGCTAAAAAGAAAAAAACTAAAAAATTCATTGCAGACATCTTGTAGATAATGCCAGTAAAAGGTGTATTATATAAGAACAAATGCAAGCCAAGACCAGAAAAGAACTCTATTACCATAGACATTAGGGGAACGGCGGCAAGGGAACATAAATATTTATGTTGTCCCCTCAATAATATGTCTTCTAAATTATTTGATTAAAGCGATTTATAATAATCGAAACGCACGCAAGTCAAGAGGAAACCGCTGTTTTATTCAAAAAATAACAATCTTTTTAGGCATAAGAGGAACAGTGGAATAGGAACACAAATCTAAGCGTTGTTCTCTTAATAAGTAAATTACGTTATATTTTAAAATTTTCAAAAATAATAGTCATAAAAACGAATACAGCCCATTAGAAAAACGGTCTTCTTTTCACAATATAAGTATATATCTTTTTTAGGCATAAGGTGGAATATAAATGGTATAGCCTATATTATGAAATATCATATAGGAACGAATACAAGCCAATCGAAAATCGGTCTGAGAACACGAACATAAATATTTGTCTCTTAATAATGAAAGGGATATATATCAGCATTAATACAATCCGAATAAAAATTGTTATTCATCCTCTATGCTTTTAAATATGAGGGGAACAGCGGAATAGGAACGCGCATAAAAAATAAGTGTAGCAATAATAAGTCTGGGTAACTCTTTCTGGAAATACAAGAGAAAGTACATAAACGTATGAGAATGAAAGCTAAAGAAAATGTGTCGTATTTTTTCTCACACAAACTTTGTTTTGGGTCTGCGTGAAACGACGGAATCGAAACAAAAATATGTAGATAATTCCGCAATGATGTGGCTTGTAATTTATATATTTTATGAAAATGTTAGGGTATTGCCAAGTCATGTAATGCAAGTCGCTTGTTGGTATTTGTTTATTGGGCCTGATTTGCTGTAATGAGTAAATTAATGCCCACAAATAGAACTTAGAACAAGGCCTGTCAAATCTATGATATTTGTTTTGATTGAAATGGCAAACTGCATTTGAATTTGTCAATTTGCCAAATGTGAAATTTCAACGATTTGCAATTCATTTGTCAATTGTTGAGCAATTGCCCACAAACCTTGTTGCCGAGCCAGCCGCGTCGCATCCTGCCCAACCTAAGGCTGTCGTCGGATTGTTTGCCAAATTGGACTCTCTCTCTCTCTCTCTTGTGCACAATTTACACTTAATTAAAGCGAGAGACGACATTATTCTGGCAATGAACTAAAGAACTCATCTCGACGCACAGTTGCTAATTTAATTTGAAAACACTTTTGCCCGTTAAGCATCTATTAGTAGGACATGACCCCGACTCGTATCCCGACCCCGACCCCGACCCCGACCCCGACCCGGACCCAGACTCAGTCTAGCAGCTCCTGCACTGTTACGTAGTTCCTATCACACCTGAGCGCCAGCCGAGCAAGACGTCAGCCTAATGAGCCTCACACATTACCTGCAGTATTTGACTTAGTTACAGCTCATTATTCCAGGGCCCACACGCTGTGGGCGTGGCACCTTGGCGACTGGCCTCCGCCTGAGTCAGCACTTGCTCAAATATTAACCAGGCAGTACGAAGACTGAAAAGCCAGTTGAGTTCACAAGGGATAGTAAATAAATCGGATTAAATATCTATTAACATAGCTTTAGCTCGCCCTTTACTTATTTACGGATTACGGGATCAAAATTTTTATTTTTATACTACGCAAGTTAAAAAGTTTCGTTTGTTTATTAATTTAAAACCATAGATTATAATAAAAATGATGGTCTGCTTTGGTTGAAAGTTCGGTTCAAGGTAAAAAAATTACTGCATAGATTAATTACGTATGCTGCATAAATTCGGGGCAGCCTTATGCTTACATTTTGGAAACTTTATCGGTCAATTAAATATATGTGATATAATATATATATGTACTATATATATATATATTTATATAAAATGGTATTTTTAAAGTCTTGAAATTTTGATCTGGTCGGAACCTGCAGGATCGGATCACTATATATATCATATAGCTGCCATAAGAAAGTTTGTCCGAAAAGTGGATTCTGTTATGGAATTTTTGATTTCTTAGTTCCACTTTTCTTCTCAATCCTCAGTTAATCTTATCTACATCGGATAACTATATCAAATAACTGCCATGAGAACAATATACTGAACATTTATTTCTCGTACGAACAATTGTTTGCTTATTTAAATATCTTACCCAAACTTGGCATTTAAATGTTATGTCCTAGCCATGCTCTATATGTATCTATATGCAAAATCTTATCAAAATCGGATAGCTATATCATATAGCTGTCGTAGGAATAGTGCACTGAAAATTATGAACAACTTTTTGCTTATCTAAATATCTTACCTTAACTTGGCATTTTTAAGTATTACTACCCAAATTTCTTGTTCTTGTATGGCAAATATTCGGTTTTCGAATATTCTCACATATCAGCAGAACCGTAAGGCAAATGCAGGGTGCCGAAGTTATTCTTACTTTCTCTTTTCTTTTTTCTTTGAGCTCTTGAGCTCTTAGAACAGATAAGCTTAGAGAGGTTTCAATTAATTCATTCATATTTCATTCTATTGTCGTGCGTGTGGATTGTCGGTTCCACATTCGCAGTTTAAGCAAAATGAAATCTGTTTTGTTTCTGTATGTGCTATGCTTAAGCCTAATGCTCATCCTAGCTGAAACACAGGCTAATGAAAATGAGGTATAAGCCAGTTTATTTAATTGAAGTTTGCGTGAAGTGCGGTAAATAATCGTGTGTTTCTTAGTCTTGTGTGGCAATCAGAATAGCAGAGGAGGAATGTGGAGAGCACACCTATAAGGCTGTAAGACCTTTGTTAAAGTATATTCATCAGATGAAGGAGGAAATGGAAAACAATAACAATAAAATTGAAGGCAAAGACAGAGAAATCAAGCAACTGCAGCAAAAGCTAGCCGCGCGTAATGAAGATCTTATCGCGGAACAGAAAGCTCAGATTGATTTATACAAACAGAGTATCAAAGAGCTAACCAACAACGTTTTGTTCATAAAAGAGGAAATGGGTAGACTTATTTCCAATGCCTTGAAAATTCAGGACTATGAAGAGCAGCTGGAGAAACAAAAGAAGTCAATTGATCAGCAAATATCCGAACTCAAAAACGAAATCAACAAGAAACTAAAAAGCCACGAAGAGAAGCCCGTTTACGGTAAATGCACCGATACTCCGGGTATTCATAAGATTAAACCGGATCAAGGACCTCCTTTCGATGCACTTTGTGACAGTGCGACAGCAGGTCCTGGCTGGATGGTTATCCAGCAGCGAATCAATGGTAGGGAGGATTTCTACAGGAATTGGGCCACATACCGTGAAGGCTTTGGTTCCTTTGATGCTGATTTTTTCTTAGGACTTGAAAAGATTCATCGCTTGACGCGCGCCCAGCCTCATGAGCTCTACATACATATGGAAGGATTTGATGGAGACATCAAATACAGAAGATACGATCAATTTGGCATTTCTGGCGAGGAGGAGAAATACACATTGATCACTTTGGGTAATTCTGAAGGCAGTACAACAAACGATAGCTTGAAACTCCACAAAAATAGGAAATTCACCACATTCGATCGTGACAATGACAATTTGCCGAGACGAACGTGGAGGTGGCTGGTGGTACGATTATTGTGGAACCAGGTATTGATCGGCACAGGTTTGTCAAAACTATTTATATGCAATTTATCCTTATCCTTTTATTTTTTTTAGCAATTTAAATGGCAAATACTATGATCATGAGGTGGATAAATATGATTCGATGCATTGGGATGGTTACGGCTTGAAGGCAGTCAAAATGCTAATACGCCCCAAAAGCAGTGGGAAATAAAGTATAAAAAACAAATATGTCTAGCATTTATTGTAAAAAAGCTTAAATTGTTGACCAATTCATTTATAAATAAATTCAGATGCTGTAATCCCAACAAAAAGCCACAACAGACGAGTATAAAAATGTTCAATTCGACGCTAATAAAACAAATTTAAATGAAATATGTTAGAATTTGATTTTAAAACAAACTCAATTATTTACTTCTATATTAAGTTGGATACAAAGAAAATCTATGAAGTCCTTCAAGTTGCCTCTCAGTAGGCTGTTGGCTAGAGAAACCATACTGAGTCTTGTCCAGGCTTTAGAGATTCAAGCTAATCAGTTGGACGGGTGGAAAAATAGGTGAAACAAATGTAAAAGTTACACTAATAATTGGGTTCCATCTCCTAATCGGACCTTCTTACTTATAAAATATATTATTATATATTATATATATACATGCAGCCGACACCATATAAAGAAGAAACTGATAAAATAAATATTTATAAAAATTAGATTTATTTTTTAAATCATTTTACCTAGCTTCTTCTCGAGAAAATCAGTATTTTTTAATCTACATATCCATTTAATGTGCGTACAGGGTATAAAAACAAAATTTATGAGCTTTGAGTGCGGCTTTGGTTTTTATACCCTGAACCCATTAAAAATGGGTATAAGGGTATATTGTATTTGTAGAAATCCAAATGAATGTAACAGGCAAAAGGAAGCATCTCCGGCCCCATAAAGTATATATATGCTTGATCAGCATCAATAGCCGAGTCGATCCAGCCATGTCTCAGAACCTATAAGCATTTGAGACTTGAAATTTTAGACGTAGGTGCTCCTAGTGCCTGCGCAGATCGGGTTTGTTTCCGATAATCGATAACTTACTCCGTTTCCAAGCAATCGATAAAAATCGATATCGATATCCTTGTTTTTGGGCAAATTTGGTAAATAAAAAGAGCTAGAGTCACCAAACTTGACATATAGCTACTAAAATAGAATATATATATGCATTTGATGTTGGAAGAAGAGGGTTCAGGGTATCCCCTAGTCGGAAGCTTCCGATTAGAAGCTCTTACTTGTTTATATTGGCAATTGAGAAAGCAACAATTTATGTCGAAGTCGAAGTACGATTATAAGATACCCTGCAAGCAGATCTATAATCAATAAAAGATAAATAATAAATCTCTTGAGAAATAAATTTGCATTTATCATATATTTATTTTCCACGCATTACCTAATTGAAGAAAGTTTTTCTAAGTTTCTGGGGAACAATATTTTATTTAGTGTATGAACCAACGTCAACACACACAAAAACACATACACATAGCTGCACACATGTATTTGTTAGCATACATATATGTATGTATTTGGTCCTATTGGAAGCGGGAGGAGTGCTTTGTATTCGCTTGACAGTTTGACATCTTCGGCGCCTAAAAGTAGATAAGAGGCAATGCTTTGAGTAAATGGCATAAAAAACTCACAAATCCAATTGGAAGCCTGTCGCACACACACTCACACCCACACACTCTCTCACACACACATGTCGTCAGTTGTTATGGCAAATGTATCTCTCAGGCAAAGCCAAGTTACAAATTGTTAGCTTAACATACAGCTCTTGAGTGTGTGTGCGTGTGTGTGTGTGTGTGTGTGTGTGTGTGCGTGTGCGTGTAATAACACTATTTCTGGGTATTTGTAATTTTTGAACATGCACAAATTTCCATTTACATATCAAGTAGCTGCTTTGGGTTTCCAAGAAATAAATTCGATTTACGCATTGAATTTAAATTATTTTCAAAACTTGTCGATGGTTCCATTTGTTTTACGGCACGTCAACGGAAATTTCGTGTTCATATACTTTTTTTAAGGTTATTTTTCTATGGTAAACACACAAGTTAGAGTGCCCGACGAGGAGATATCCTAAACCCAGCCCCAAGCTGCATTTATGAACATTCTAACTTCGCACACGTAATTTATGCTGCAGCTGTGGTTCTTCTTACTCTTGATTAATTTAGGGTTTCATTTTTTATTTTTTATTTCACAAAGGGAACTATCAAAAAGTAGAATATCTTTTCTGTGCATGCAAGAACCTACATACCATATCATTCCACATATACACACACAAAACTCACACACACGCAGATGAGCTTCTTTTTTCCCGTGCTTTACTTCGGAGCTTATAGTCCGATCTTCATGTGATCCCAGAAAATTTTGTAAGTCAGTGTAATCAGGGAAATGAATCTCATCTGAAGCTGTCGCCACAAGTATTTTGTATATAAATCCTATTTATATAGCTGCCACTTTTTGTTTTAATAAACTGAGATTGTCTAGAATATACTGTGTGCCATTAAATATAATTGAACAAAATACTGGGATTTGTTTTAGTCACTTCGGTGATGAGCAAATGTATATAATGTGGATTATGACGTTCTTCTATATGTATATAAATTGTATTACTATCAGCAAGAAATGCATACTTACTATGTACTTTGTGTATATCAATTGGGAATTTGTATTATACAGAAATATAGTATCAATAGGTTTTCACGCTCTTTCTCCTGTTCACTCGCTGCCGCTCCGAACTGAAATCTGATTCGAACAATCATGAAAATATCTCACACTTTTCGCACATTTGCCACATCACTGAATACCGATCCGCAGCTCGAACTCACATTGACCCCGGTCCGCCTCGGCCCGGTTCAGTTCGTTGAGAAATTTTCTTGTTGCTTTTCGTTGCAATTTCAGAATTTGTGATCGCAAAAACGAGTAAAACAGCGTATTCGAGGTGCCCCAACTACCCGTTAGTGTCGGTCACAAACCGAAACTGCAACAAACAGGATGCGACATTGGGATTCACTGGGAAAACACATTGCCTATATATGTATATATAACTCTTAGATTTCGGTCGATGCGTCTCGATGTGCAGCTGATAATGAAATGAATTTCAGATGCGATTACAGCCGCGATAAATACGCGCAAATCAGAGAGAAATCTGTCGCGCTTTAAGGCTTCTAATGCGAATGCAATATGATTTGGTTTGAAGCTACAAATGTAACTCAATCGATGCTGTTTTAAATCTATCTCTCTCTTCTCGAGTCTCTTAACCTCTCTCTCTCTCGCTCTCTCTCTCTCCCTCTCTCTCTCTCTCTCTCTCTTTCTCTGCTACTCTCTGTCTCGGTCGCTGTGGTCTATTGGTTTTGGCGTTTAATCGCCGTCGTCAGCTCAATCTAATGCAATTGTAGCTATGCATCTGTATCTGTATCTGAGCCTCTAACTGTATCTGTATCTGTATCTGTATCTGTATCTGCGTCTCGTAACTGCATCTGTATCTGTATCTGTTTGTCTGTCTCTGTCCCTTGTAACATTTCGTCATGTGTGCATGAAACGCTCAGCATTCATTTAAATACTTCAACACATCTCACATGATTGCGGGCCTTTGTTATTGACTGATTTAACATTTATATATTTCCATTTGTGTTTTGTTTTTGCGGTTTTTAACTTTGAAGTCTCCCACTTTTGCAGGCCGCGTTGGCCACAATTGCGGCCGCTACCAATTGATGCCAATGGATACAATTACATTTAAGAGGCAAACAAAACGCAAGAACTTCAGAGAATAACACATGATTTGACCCAGAACTGAACATAAATACTTGAGAATTATAGCAAATGTTATACATTAAATACATTTATTTAATGTAATTTGAATTAAAATATCTTATTAGGTTTAAAATCAAATTCCATAAAGTAGCTACCGAACTTGGTTAGATATCATATGATATAGTTAGATATAATTAGATGGGTTAAATTTTGAGTTTTCCCAAAAGTTCATGCTCGACATTTTAGCCGTATTTCTGGCTGGCAAAAACACAGCCTTGGCAAATAATGTTATATTTGTAAAAAATAAGCATCTGTTTTTAAGTTCTCCACACAGTCTTTTATTCACGATTGTCGAATAGCCGCATTTGAGTATTCATATTGTAATTTAAATCGTTTTTGCATACGTGCAGCTTGTGGTTTTTTGGTCAGAAGCCAAACAAACGATGCACCTTTGCACATAGAGGCGACTACCTCGAGTCCGTATCTGGTATCTGGTATCCGGCAAAGTGGGGCACAGTTTATGATAGACTCGTGTATACCACATGCCCCCAGTTGCTGTTAGTTAGAAATGTCGAGTGAAAAGCCGCTTAGTTACTTTGGCGGGCTGCATTTTTTTGACTTCATCTTGGTCGGCAAATACTGCGCCGGCTCCAGCTTCGGCTCCGGCTCCGGCTCCGGCCATGCTATGGAAATTCTTGTATTCGTCGGCGCTCCTTCAAAGTTGCCTGCCCAACTCTGCGCCCTTTATGTTATATGCTTATCTCTGTTTATGCAGCAAGCGGAGGCACGTGGCCAATTCCACGGCAGACTTGAATCTGCCGCCGCCCCGCCGCCGTGTTCCCATTGGCAAAGTCGCCTTTGTGCGACTCGCTCGCTTAAGCCGCTTTAGAACGGTAATTGTAGCCGTCGCTTGTACACCCTACCCGGTAACCCGTAACCCGTAGCCCGTAAGCCGTAACCAGACAACCCTTTAATATGTTCGAAAAGCCAAAGCACTTGCAAAGTCGTGAGCCTAATCCGAAAGCCTGAGCGAGTCGAGTTCACATGTCGAAATCCCCTACTCTGCGCAGAAAGGGTATTGGAAAAGCTAAACAAAAGCCTGCTTTGACTTCTTTTATTTTCTAAATTTCTGAATGAAGCTTTTTGCGCCTTAGTTTTGTGTAAAGATAAACTTAAATTAGTCCGTAGATCTTAACAAAAACTATATACATAAATGCGAAACTTTAAATCCGAGCTATTTTGACGTGTTTTTCTTTGAAACTAGATTCAAATTCGAATTTTTTTATAAGAACTAACAATTCGAATCTCCTTAGACTAGACTCTAGTTTTATATTTTACACTTAGGAAAGCTAAAGATTATTCTGGCAAAACTAAACTACTTTTATCTAATATACCTAGACTAGAATCTTCTCTAATTTCTTAAAATTTCTTCTCTTTTTTAAGTTTGCATAAAAACTCATAACTTCAATTAACTTTGGCTAGAGTTTGGTTTTATATATTGGAAAATATCAGTATTATGTTTTGCAATAATGAATGCGAGCTAAAATAAAGACTTTAACTTATTTATAACCAACATATAGAATGTGCCGCAAACAGCTACAAAGAACAGAATGTCAACTGTTGCAACTCGAATAGCAGAGAAGACACAAAATGTGGCACATGAAATGTGGCACAAAACTGTAGATGACGCAACTAGAACAAAGTTGTCATTGTCAGCCATAATTCCAAGCATTCAGAACAAAAACCACAAGACGTAGCTACTCTCTAGCTAACTGTGAGATAGTTTCATGACGTCTGAGATACTTTAGCGGGGCACTAATTGAAGATGGCCAAACTGAATCTATGCAAATGCTTTTAGTCAACGCATTCTCTCACACATTCTGTGCAAGAATGTGGTCACAAAACTCAATTATTGTTCAGATTCAATTAGCCTCGCTCCCATACACAGACTTGGCCAAAAGCACTTCAAATTCGATTGCACGTGTTATTCAAGCATACGTTCATTCAATTAACTTTCGGCTCATGAATTTGCACTCAATAAATGCAGATGTGCTCTGTGCAAAAGGCAACTAAAAGCATTTTATAAACTTAGAAATATATTTAATGAAAACTCGTCTTAAATGGCTTAATCGAAATGCTTTCCAGCTCAAAATACAACTGGTGCAAAAGTATATGTATTGCGGAGTATTACCCGGCCTTGCCCGTGGAAAAATTAAATCATCCTCTGTGATATTCACTTCTATTTGTTTTTACAAACATTAAAACAAACATTTTTGTAGCTCTGTCAATATGCAAAATGAGTTAAATGTGCAGGTTGATGAAACCAGGTTCACGAGACGGCTCTAGACAATTCCTTTTGGCCTGTAGCCATTTTTTAAGCCAATTTAAGCTGTTGCCAGGTGCTTTTTTGCGCTCTGGTCAGTTCGTCGTAAAGCTCTTTAAATATGTGCAAAATGTTTCAGCTAAAATGGATATAATTTCCCTTTGAATCTCCTGCAGCATAAACTATGCAAGAGTCTTAGCCAATGCGGCTCAGGCCAGCTAAGCCCCTCCCAAGTGGAGCAGCTGCAGCAACTGATGCGTCACATGTGCTGCAGTATTTGTTGTTCCGGCTGCTGCTGCTGCAGTTAGAAGCTGCGTAAACTTTGTGCCCCAGTTTGCACTTAAAGTTAATGTAAACTTATCTTGACTTACCTTCTTTGCTTGCAGTGCACTCCTTGCCGCATCTAACCGTGCTCAGCCTCTCCGGCTGCAGCAAACTAACCGACGATGGCGTCGAGCTGATTGCCGAGAATCTGCAAAAATTGCGCGCCCTGGACCTGTCCTGGTGTCCTCGCATAACGGACGCCTCGCTCGAGTATATCGCCTGTGATCTGAACCAACTGGAGGAATTGACATTGGATAGGTGAGTCGACCGCCCCTCCCACACACACACACACACACACACACACACACTCAAACTCACAACCACCCTCCACGCCCCCTGCTCGAAATTATTCATGAGTTAAATTCAATTTCCGCACTCGCTTTCCCTCAACAAGCAACTGCACGAGTTGCCAGTTCAGGTCGCAGCAGCACTCCATGCTTCCAACTTTATTGTTGTTGCCATTTTTTAAGTTTTTTATAACTTACGTAATAATCTTATGTCAGTTAGATATTATTAAATGAACTTCAAGTTATCTTTAATCTAGTTTGCATAACGGCTTGAACCCAATTGTTTTTATTCTACTATAAATATTTAAACCTGGATTTAAAGAACTATTGAAAACGAATCTACAATTGATGCCAATTTGTGTCTCACTTTTAGGTGCGTCCATATAACGGACATCGGAGTTGGTTACATTTCCACAATGCTATCGCTGACCGCCCTCTTCTTGCGCTGGTGCTCCCAGGTGCGTGATTTTGGGCTGCAACACCTGTGCTCCATGCGCAATCTGCAGGTGCTATCGCTGGCTGGCTGCCCGCTGCTGACGTCATCCGGCCTGTCCAGCCTCATCCAGTTGCGTCATCTGCAGGAGCTGGAGCTGACCAATTGTCCTGGCGCCTCGCACGAGCTCTTCGATTACTTGAAAGAGCATCTGCCACGCTGCTTGATAATCGAATAATTGATGGATTACTTTATTTGAATGTGAATGAAATGAAACTGATTTTCTTTAGATTCAGTTATTAAGATGCTATTTTTTTTTAGATTGTTATTTTTAGTCAGCAAGTTCCTTTTGTGCTATCAAATCTATGAACCCTTATGGTTTTACAATTCTTTTGTGTTTCTTATGATTTTTACTGTGATTTTAAATGGAACTCTAAACACATATATATTTATATATATATATTAAGTTGGGAGCTGTTTAAGGAGCTATACAATAAAAGAGCCCAAATGATATTTATTTACATACAGTACAATACCGAGATGTCGTCTAATATTAACAATTATTTCTATTTATAATTATTATTGTAGTTTTTTAAATCAAGTTTAAATTAACCTCACTGTAATTAACCATAAAAGATTGTGCAAACAAAGAAACAATTTCTATAGATATATGTGCATACATATATGCTTGATATATGTAATTGTAAATTAACTCTAAGCATTGCGCCTAAAAGACATACAAAGAAAAAAAAAAGCGTATGCAGCAAAATCAAAAATAATGCAATTTATTGTTCAAAGCAACAACATTTCAAAAGAAAAGAAAAAATACTGAAGTGAATATTTATAGGCAAAATTGCCAACCAGCTTTATACTTAGCTCACCTTTGCAGACCCGAACACAAAAACTTTTTATCAATTGTACCATACAATAACTATGCTAACAATGAACCCGCATTCCCCTACCTCCTAACCCTCTTCAAGAAAAAAACAAACAAAAGTTCATAAAAATAACGTATTACAGTTTTAGAATTAGACGATTTAGAGAAATGTGCACGCTAAACTAATGGAAAACAATATTCAAACTAAATCGTAAACAATTTTCGGGAGCTACCTTTGAAAATGATCAAGTGAAAGAGATTCAATTGTATATTCTGAAGCCCCTGTGCCGCCCTTCCTAGTACTATGTCGCCGACGACAAAGAGCTAAACATAAACTATAATAAATTATTAAATATATGGATAACTAACTTATGTGAAAGAGCTGCGCTACCAAAACATTTGTTTAAATGAGGAATGTGAGGATTGTAGTTTGAAAAAAAAAAAAACAAAAACAAAAATTTGAACAATATTTAAAACAAACAACAAATTTTAAAAAACAAATATATGAAAAAATAAACTAAAGCAAATTTGAAATTCTCTTGTTTCATTTGTAACAAGTTTCAACTTTTTTTTAATTATTTTCTAAATTCCTTAACAGTTAAATTCTTATTAATATTCCTAACAAAAATATAAGCTTAGTGACATTTGCTTTTAGAAAAGCTATCCACTCTTTTGTCATTCCTCGCAGGCTCCCTCCCCTTCGTCGTCATTATCATACTCCGTATTATCTTCGCCATCTTCACCGTCCTGTTCTTCCTCTTTGCCTTGCTGATCCCACCAGGAGAGCACGCCCAGCCCAGACTCGTTAATAGCGCCCTGAAAAAAAAAAAAAAAAACAAACTATAGTACACGACTGTGCATAGTGTTTGGGATCTGGACTGACGATTATCTTGTAGGGTGTCTTCACTTCCTGTGCTGCAGCGGAGGCGGCTGCTGCTGCTGCTGAGGTGCTAGCATTTTGGGCTGCTTGACCCTCCGCTTTGGGTGGACCAATGGGAGATGTTTCCTCGAATATTTCGCGGGAAACACGGAACTTGATTGGCTCCCCAACGTCCATGAAGAGATCATGTTTACCGCCATCCTCCAATGGATACTCCCAGACCCAGGCCTGTTCCGCCTCATCAAAACGCGACGGATGCTGCAGAGCCGCATGTGGTATAAGTATATCATCGAAGAAGCCCAGCGTCACGTTCACTCCCTCGCGGCAACAGCTGCGTATTTTTCCGGTAATAACGGTTCCCACCATCGGCCGGAACACCACATAGCGAAACAGCACCTCTGTGTGTGAGGCGCCGTCTCCGGGCAGAATAATTGAGTCCTTCAGTGAGACAATCTCCTTGAGTGCTATGCACAAGCCAACGTTAAGCAACACCTATCAAGGGCCCAGTTCAAGTTACTCAATAGATTGTTTCCAATATCGTTCAAATTACCTTATTTGCCAGCTTCCTGTCAATTTCGTCACGCACCGCATCCACAAGCTTCAAATTAAAGTGATCGGGCGCAATGCGTACGTTGTCTTTAAGTTCTGCCAGTACAAACATGTTTTATAACCATCTATTTTCTTAGCTAACTTGGTCTTATATTGATGGGCGCGAACTATATAAATATTATTAGCCGGTGTGATTTCTTTTACTGTAGCCTCATTGTTTCACAGCTGTTATGTTATGAACATCTACAGGTAACAGAGTCGCAATGGAGCCATAACAGAACAGCTGTTGCTTCACTTTTATATCGATAGCCGATTGCTGTCGGCGTGCAATGTTGAATGGCAAAATTATCAGCTGTTCGCGAATTACACGTGCAAGTTGATTTCACAATTATTTTTAATTAAAACGTGAATTTTAAAAGGTGAAAGCATTTAAAAAGGACCACCTGCAGCACAAGAAGCGATAATAGTTTATGGTTGATAGACTGAGCATCTGCACATACCTGTTGCACTCACAGACAAGATGACCGATGCACACAAATATAGCGATCCGGAGGAGGATGACGAGAATCTGAAAAACGTAAGTTTAGACATCAATTTTGTAACTGCAAAGTAATATTTGTAAATAAAATGCAATGTATTGTAGTCTGAGTGGGTGGAAGACTTTAAAACGCTTACAGTGAAGCACGACATTTTTAAGAACATGAAACAGAAAGAAAAAGATGTAAGCGACGACTTGTGCCAGCAAATTATTGATAACACCAATCCGGCCGAGGAAACTGATTCGGACTATGCGGATGAGTATGAAGACGACGATTACGACCAGGGCGACGACTACGATGCATACGAAGAAGCCTACAGCGGCTTTAACAAGCACAACGCCCAACCACAGCTTACAACTGGTGGCGGCAACAGTATCAGAACCGGCACCGGCACTAGTCCTGGCGGTACAGGAGGAGGCGGCACTCAGCGCGTGAGCAGCTACCAGCCGAATGAGAAGGTGCTGCGGCGATACTCAGCCCGGATAAATGTCGAGAAATACGATCCAAACGCCAATATGAGCGCACAGGCGGCCAACCGATTGGTAAGCTTCGATCGACGCCAGGAGACAGAGCGAGTGCGTGTGCGAGACAAGCACGATCGCGCCACAGCGGAGCAGGTGATGGATCCACGCACACGCATGATTCTCTTCAAGCTGCTTAACCGCGGTCTTATTCAAGAGATCAACGGCTGCATATCCACCGGCAAAGAGGCAAATGTCTACCATGCGGTCTCCAAGAATGGAGCCGACGAGTATGCTATCAAAATTTACAAGACCTCAATTCTAGTGTTCAAAGATCGCGACAAGTACGTTTCGGGTGAATTTCGCTTCCGTCATGGCTACTGCAAGCACAATCCTCGCAAAATGGTACGCACCTGGGCAGAAAAGGAGATGCGTAACTACCTGCGCATGCGGAATGCTGGTGTGCCCGTTCCCGAACCCATTCTGCTGCGTTCGCATGTATTGGTCATGCGCTTTTGCGGTCGCGACGGCTGGCCAGCTCCAAAGCTGAAAGACGTGGAGCTGAGTACTTCAAAGGCACGCGAGCTGTACCGCGACTGCGTGGTCATAATGTGGCGCATTTACAATCAGTGTCGACTAGTCCACGCGGATCTCTCCGAGTTCAATATACTGTTCCAAGATGGCCAACTGGTGATCATTGACGTCAGCCAGGCGGTCGAGCACGATCATCCGCATGCGTTCGACTTTCTACGCAAGGACTGCACCAACATATCCGAATTCTTCCGCAAAAAATCGGTGGCCACCATGACGGTCAAGGAGCTGTTTGACTTTATAACGGACCAGACCATAAACGAGCAAAATATGGAGGAGTGCTTGGAGCGCATTTCGGAGCGTATTAAGGATCGAGACTTTGATGCCATCACAGCGCAAGAGAAGATCGATGAGGCTGTTTGGCAGAACACCTACATTCCCAAACGCTTGGATGAGGTAAATACCACAAAAAAAAAAAATCAGTTTTCCACATCTAATCCATTATTATACTTCAGGTGCCGCATTTTGAGCGCGATGTGACAAAAGCTAAGCAGGGTGTCCAGCAGAATCTGGTCTACGCAAAAATAACGGGTCTTACGCCACAACTAGATGTTCAAAAACAGCCGGACATTTTGGATGCCGAACATAAAAGTGCGGAAAGTGAGCAGCAGACAAGCGAAAACGAGAGCGACGCATCGCAGGAGGACGATGACATGTCAAAGTTCAAAAACTCGGCACGGCCACGTGACGAATCGCCCGACAGCAAAAAGGCCCGCAAAAAGGCGGTTAAAGATGCCAAGGCAGAACAACGGAAGGTTAAAGTTAAGAAGCATGTGAAGAAACGCAAGGAAAAAATCGGCACCATCAAAAAGTAGTCGAGCCTTTATCAATAAGTTTTCTAACCGCATCATCTCCAATGTAAACTAAATTCCAAATCGATTTCGGAGTTCAGATTGCGCTCAAGCGCATAATATATTTATTTTACGCATAAAAAATGTAAAAAAAATATTTGAAATGTATATAAATCTCTTTGATAACCACTTAAACTAGCTTCTCTTGTAAAAGATAATTATAATTTGTATATAGCACCAGAGTTTTTAAAACTATTTGTTCTTTAGCATGATTTATGCCACAATTCTGCCGCTTACTGTCTGCAGGAGCATATTCTACTGTATATATAGAAAATGTTTGAATACTTAAGACGTTAAAGGAACTGTTTCATTCCCATTATATCATCACCATCGATTGACGTTAAAGCCTTGTTCCATTCCACATCTTCCATGCAAACTGTCAAGCAATGAGTGCTTTTCAAAGTTTGACACAAAAGAAGAAAAAGCATTTCAACTGGATCGATACAAAATTTTGAACTCCAAATATTTTTTTGTCAATTTACAAGATTTAAAAAAATTGTTTGAAGAAGGAAATCAGTTACTGAGAATCGAAGGATGTCTTTAACTTTCGATAATGCGCTACAAAAAATTGTAATGCAACTGAAGGTTCCATCGAAAGAGCATAAGGCCTTTCTCTGTGATGCTACCTACCTAGCCGGCTGGATCAATAAGGCGCTCAAGGAGCGTAGATCAATGCTCGCCGGCAGTTTCAGTAATTTGCCGGCAACTGGTAAGGATTGCAGTGCCTGCCCAGTTAGTATTCACATTGTTGCCAAATCCTTGCAGCCACCTATATATGCGGAAATCATATAGACTTACCTGCCAACTTCAATTGTTATCTGCTGCTGGACTTGAGGTTTCCGTTCTACACAGATATAAAGGACGACGACTACATCTATTTGCACTCGGTCTTCAAGGAGCAGATAGTCGGAGATTCGTTAATTTCGTCCGTCTATCTACAGACACATCTGCGCAACGATTTGGACGGACTCTTGAAAACACAGCCAACGGTTAACTGCAAAACGGGAACCGGACGCAGCTACCAATTATGCTACCACACAACCAAATATCCAGTCAGTGCCCACACGATTATCGCAACCCAGCTGAAGGCGAAGAACAATACGCGCATTGTATTTGAGTTTTTGGTAGCCATTAAGCTGCCAATATCCAAGTATCCCAGACCAGCATGTGTCCCGGTGCCAGAGTCTATGGCGAACATGGAGCTGGGCTACTGGGTGGCGCTGCCCGTTCCTCATTTCGACGTGAACTTTAACGGACACAGCTATTTGGGCCGCAGCCATGTCTGGCAGAAGGCGTCTCCTGGACAACGCCAGCGATGGTGTTTGGTCGTGCGATTGTTCTTTATGATGAGCAGAGGCAATGGGACACTGAACACCATCGGGATTCATGCGCTCAAGCACACGTGCGTTAATCTTTGCGAAAAATTTGGCGTGGACAAAGCTGATCGACCCCTCGGCCTTAAGATTATGGACGTAAGAAGTGCTTCTATTTAGTTTTAATTATATCCTGTAAGCAACTGCTTTTAGATGATGATCACACACGGCACTCGAAAGCTGAGAGAAGTATCCAACGCTAGTAGGAACGGGCAAATCGTCAACTTGGAGATACATCCCGCCCTGCCTGCAGACTGTGCCAAAACAGACGTCATGCTCACCACGATGAAGGCCAAGATGACTAATAAAAATGGCTGTGACATGGAGAACTTACGGCTGCTATTTGGACTAGCAAAGCAGAGGAAATTATAAACATTTACAACTTAATTGCTATTGTTTTACAAGAACAATATTTGTGTATTATCTATTGCCGTCTGTTTAAAATTTGTTTTTAATTGTTATACCATAGAACTGAAAATAAAAAATACCAATTAACAGCTTGCATATGTCTGGGAGATTGCCTGACTCACTTCAAAAATAATAAATAGTTTACGAATTTCGCTTATTAACATTTATGAAAGACTGCACATCTCCAACTCAAGCCTAACGGAACAAATCTTAGCAGTATATGGCAACGCTTGTCCATATGCAACTCTGTGTTTGGTTTGAAATTTAACGTAAATGTCAATTTGTGGATTTCAATTGTCATGATTTTCGTCGAACAAGTAGTCGCTGTGATAGAAAACGAATGTTGGGAGTCAGCACGTAGGCGCAGGTAAAATTTAGAATTCGTAAATATTTGTGAGCAATCAACAAATTGATAGCCTAGCCCTGCGCATTCGGTACAAAATGTCTGATCATTTTACAGATATTAACCAAACAGCAACTGATTCCGATTCAGCAGAAACGCCACCGCAGCTATCGAAGATTGGATTACGTCGAGCCCATAGAATGTCAAAGACGAATGAATCGCAGCGTCTGCTCAGATCGCAGACGGCCGACAAGGAGGATGACGAACTATTTGTCAAGTTGCCCAAGTTTAGCAAGCGATTGCGTGGCAAGAGCTCAGCCGAGGCCCAGGAACCGGATGCCATCGATGCCAGCACCAAGGAGCTGTTGCCGGCCAATCAAAGGCTGTACAAATATCTCAAACAGGCCAACTGCCAGCGCTGGATCTGGTGCGAGTTCATAGAGTCCTTTATCGACAAGGCGATACTGGGCAGCGCCTACGACATGAACAACTACGTCCAGAGCTGTTTTCCGCAACTGGATACGCGTCAAATGCCACGTCGCTGCTGGCAGCTGATTCGTCGCAACATGGGCAAGGCTCGTCGCTTCTCGCCGGCATTTATTGCTGGCGAGCGCATCGAACTGGAGCGCAGTCGTCGCATTGTTCGTCAGCTGCAGCAGCGCAAGTTCGATATGGAGCAGGATGGTCAATCTCTGGAGCTGATGCCCAAACTGATACCCATGCCACTGGCCGTGGATGTCAAGGTGATCAGCCTGCTGAGCGCACCACAGTTGATGCTGTGCAAGGGACGTGTCATCGGCTACGAGCCAAGGGACAGCAGTTACCTGATTAAGTTTAACATTGCGGGTAAGCATACGGTGCTCAGCATGCCTGATTGCCATCTCCACGTGCTACAGGAGTGCAAGACCCTGCCGCTGGCCAGCATCGTCCAGGAGACTGAAGACAAGCAGCTGACCAGCTCAGAAATCTCCGTCGATGCCGACGAACCGAAGCCCCTGATGGATGCGCTCTTGCAATTGCAAAAGCTTCTGCTCCTCAAACGTAAAACCGTCCAGGACATGGCCAGCATGAACGAGGAGTTGGAAGCAAGCGGCTTGCCAGCACCCGCTCGCCGGGAGACCAAGCAGACACCGCTCCGCGAGAAGCTGCAGCGTCGCTATGCCTCCAATATGATAACGTTGCATCGGGTGAACGCTGACATCTTGGAGCCGCTGCGCGTGGCGCACCACCATCTAAATGAGTACGAGACGGATGCGCTGCATAGCAAATGCGTGCCGCGCAACAAACTGTACGAGAAGTGCCGCACCCTAGCCGAAATGGACTTGAAGGCAGCGCCATGTCAAGCCAGCGTCCAGCTAGAGCCGACGCGTGAACTCATTCTGCGCCTGCAAACATTGCTCTATTTGTGCGGAGAACTGGGTCACGGCAACAATGTTGAGGTTGATGCGGTCATGGATGACTTTGTGTCCAACCTGCTGGTGGGTTTGCCGCCCCAGCTGACAACTGAGTTCAGGCACGTTGTTGGCCTGCTACAGCCGCTGCGTGAGCACATCCTGGCCATGACCAAGACAGAAGCGGAGCCGTGCCAGCAGCTATTTCAATCAGATGCTGCAGGGCTTCTTTTGCCCAATGAAGAGTCTGACATCGAGATGGGCTTGTAGTATTTACTAAACAGGCAGGTTGATAACTTTAATACATTTATTTGAAACGGCTAAGCGCAATACATCAACCAAACAAAAACCTTGATAACTTTATTACATTTCTAACTTTTACTATAATATAATGTGAGCATAATCTGCATCATCTATACATATTCCTATATGTATTTTAAGGCTCTGCGGCTCTGATTAGCAGATACGTCTAGAAGTTTTATCATCATTATCGTCGTCGTCGACTAAAACACAGTTATTGACGTTATCATCTAGATAGTATTCGTCGCATAGTACCACATCAATGGCATCTACGAAATTGTTTTCGAGTACGGCCAACGTCTGATGGTAGGCCTGATCTTCTGCAGGATTTGCGACTGCCTGCTCGGCATGCAGGAGGGCGCGTTTAAATTCATTTTGTCGCAGCTTCTGCAAATTACCCAAACGTCGTATGCTTGTTATGTACGGGTAAAGCTGCTTGGGTCCCACCTCGGCCGTATCGCAAGTTCCGTAGAAAAATACATTGTACTTTCGATCGCCTGCTTGTAGAATACGGGCCGGCCACGGGCGGTATCCTTTCAATTTGGCGAATACAAAATCGCCATTTTTGAACTGCTCCTGCCTTATGGCTGTACGGCTCATTTGTATGTATAAATTAATTTTCAGCTGAGCGCGAAAGACAAAATAACTGTTTCAGTAGTGTTGCCAGACCGAATCTGATGCACAAGGTGCATTATGATTCGACCACTGTTGCTCGCAGAATTTTAATCGATACATGAGTATCGATATTACATATGTTGTAATGCGGTCACATCGGTTTTTTTTCAAACAAATGGCCGGCTTGTAAATTTCGACAATTCGGCAAAAGCTGCAGTTATTTCTGACATTCATTAATTAGTACTATATATTGATTCAGTGTTGAGTTTGAATTAAAAGTCCAGATGCTTAACTTTTTTTTTTAGAGATATGTAAAAATATTATTTGTCTTATGTACATGTCACTATTACCAGAAATCTTACAGAAACTATGCTTACAAACTAGACGTAAGAAGTGCACAGCTATTAATTAACATGTGCTTATACTTGGGAGTGGTATGCTAACCAGATATTTACAAACTATCTAAGCACCAACTTATCTGAGCGTTTGTTTACGTGGGGCAATCAACTGTGCACATAATACATTTAGCAGTTAGGAGTATGTACAAACTGTTAGTTATTTCTATTACTAGATAGGCACCAGCACTATTTGTGTATAAATCCAAATCACAGCATAGACTTTTGCTATAACTATACATATATTGTAGTATAGCAAATTCCATTGCATCCGAGCTGCTCATGTGTAACAGCGCTTGCGCAAACTGATGTACACGAGCACCCGGAAGAAGATCATCAGCATGGCCAGCAGACCGAACTGGTGCAGTATCGATACCTTGTCCACGTCCAAGAACTTGAGCAGCACTCGCGGATCGCTAAAATGGCAGTAGATGTCATCGCAGTCCAGCTCCTCCCGCTGAAATCCGAACACGGTCAATATTAAGGCCACCACACCCACGCGCACATAGCTAAACTTCATCAATAGATTCATGCCTCCGGGGATTTGAGACGCAAAATCAAAGCCATAAATAGCGAGGCCCATGAGCGGTGCTATAATCATAGGACCCACCACGCTGCCATTCTGCGATGGAAAACAAAATATTTAATGTTAAATATGCGATAAAAAAAAAGATATATATAACCATGAATGGCTCGGTTAGATAAGGCCCGATCTGGCCTTTATATAGCTTATCGGACGATATAATATTTTTATGCGTGCGCCTGAAAATATGCAGCAGTATTTCATGCAACCTGCACTTACTGTTATGCTGAAGGTAGCGCCAATGGCCAGGCCCATGCCCTCAGCCACCAGCGAGATCATCAGTCCGACGGCAACAAATATGCAAAACCGCCAGAGCTGCTCCGGCAGCCCGGACATCCAGTAGGTCATGGCCATAAAGGTGAGATTGAGGAGCACCTGCAGCGGCAGACGCGATATGCTGAGCGCCATATAGTAGGGCATAAGGGTATACCAGCGATTGAAGGTCTCCTTTTTGACCACCTTGACGTCGGCGGGATCTGGCAGAGCGATAATGGCCAGAGTGAGTGAGACAGAACTATATTGGCATTTTATCTAGCACTTACAGCTAAGTATGGGCACCATCACTTGGGTGTAGACAATCATGAGCACGGCGCCAATGCAGAACTTGAGATGGTCGAACATGCGTGCACCCTGATTGCCAAGCTGGAAGAATATCAGGCCAAAGAACAGGCCGCACAGCGTATGATGGATCAGTTGGATGGCCAGAGCCAGACGGGCACGCATTGTGCGTAACAGCATAACGCGCATCAGCACCAGGAACTGCTGCAGTCCGGATATCTCATGCGCGCGCTCATGGTGCAGGCGCTGCGAGTAGACCTTCACATGCTCCAGCAAGGCGCCCGCTGCGCCCATCAATGTGCCATCGGTGGATGCAGCGGTGCCGGCAAAGATCGCTGGCAGAAATTGACGCTTCGGCTGCTCCACGAACAGCGTAGTGATGGCCTGCTGCGGCTCCAGCGGAGAGCCCACCAGATCCGTTTGCTTGGCCCGGTAGGTGAGCTTGCCATTGTCTGTCAGCTCGCTAAGCAGCGGCACCAATTGTCCCTCCTCGGCGTCAATTACCTCAATAACTGTGAACGAAAGTAGCTAGAGATTAGCTCAAGCCTTGGCCGTGACGCACACTCTCCGAACACTTACTGTAGTCCGAGGGGCTGTAGTGGCGCGGGCAATCGATCTGCGCCAGACGCAAAAAGGGTATGGTGGCCTGCGGACTACCCTGGAAGACACACTGGCCCTTGGCCAGCACATAGATGCTATCGAAGTAGTTGTAGATTGTCGCCGACGGCTGATGTATGGTGCAGACAATGGTGCGACCCTCGCGCGCCATTTCTTTCAGCAGGCGTATGCACTGGGCCGCTGTCACCTCGTCCAGGCCGCTGGTGGGCTCGTCGAGAAA